TAACCTTGCTCAAAGTTAAATTTATTTTCAATAATAATCTTCTTGATTATATAGAGTAATCTTGCAATATTTATGTTAGCTGGTCATGACACTAGTAAGAAGTCCTTTTAATTATTTTATATTGTATTTATCTTATTCAAGCTTATATAACCTTTATTTTTTTTTATTTTTTTTGCCATAATAAATTAGCTGCAACGGCTTTGACATCCATCTTATATGTCTTAGCAACCCGCAAGGTATTTAAAGTTATTGTACTTCAAATATCTTTTTATTTTATTAATTGGGTTTTTACCTTCATTAAATAAGGATGTGCAATGCAAAGTCCATGATGAAATATTACGCGTTCTTGGCGATAATTTATCCCCGACCATAGAGCAACAAAGAGAATTAAAATATTTGAACATGGTTATAAATGAAAACCTAAGATTATATCCTCCAGTATGCATTATTTAAAATTTTCAAATCTGTAATTGGTCCAAACTTATTTTATATTAAATAATATATATATATATATATATTTTATCAAAGGTTCAACAATTGCCACAGAGAACAAATACGGAGATTATTAAATTTCGAAATCATACAATTTTGCCAAAAACACCCATATTTGTAAATATTTATGGAATTCATCATTCATCAAAATATTGGAAGAATCCTGAAGAGTTTATTCCTGAAAGATTTGAAAATGAACGTGATGAAAAACGCGATCAACATACTTGGTTAACTTTTGGTGGTGGTTCAAGAACGTAAGTCGAAGACTTTTTTTTTGTTGGTTTTCGTCGTATAACTAATTTATTATTATTATTATTAAATAGATGTTTAGGTAACAATTTTTCACTTATTGAACAAAGAGTGACGTTGTGTACTTTGTGTAAGTTGTCTACAAAATCTTTTTTTTACAAATAAATGTTTTATGTATATTTTTTTTTGAAATTGATTATTTTCTTTCTCTATTTAGTGAGAAAATATGAGGTGTCTTTACCAGCAGATAGTATTCATAAAGACAAACTGCAACTTGATCGATTTAATGGTCCTCTTATGGGACTGCAGCCATTACACTTAATCTTTAAAAGAAGAACATAATAAAAAATTCATTATTATTAAGTAATTGAATTATAAATATATACACATATGCAATAGAAAGGCTGAAACAAAAAAGGTTTTAAAACCGAGTTAATTTTTTTTTCTGAAATTTTCTTCCCTTTTATACCGTAAAGTATTTTTTCTTTATATTAAATAAATTATAACTTTAGTTCATATGGTTGTAGTTTTTAATTATATAATAAATTACAAAATTTATATTTATATTTATCATCATTTTTTTTTATTTTCACTTTTCACTTAATGATAAACCCCCTTTTAAGTATAAATTGTTAATTTATTTAAATAATGCTAAATGTGAACTTGATAAGGTTTATAGCAAAAAAAAAAAAATAATAATTCTTTCTTTTAAATTAGTTTATGTCTCAAAATAAATTGTGATTTAGAAGATTGCTGCAGCTTCAATGAATAATTCCCAAATTATAAGATTTGATTTATATACTGAATATGCCGAGCAAAATTTCTGGGCTGAAACAAATGTCTGCATCTTATGATACCTTGCTAATTAATATAACTAAAAAACCAAATATTTTTTATTATGATTAATTTTCAAAGAAAAAAAGTGAACTCATTATTTGTAGTTTGTTTTTGAAATCATGCACGGATCATAATTATCGTATTCAAATAAGTTTTGTAACATCATAAAGGTTATAGATTATAATTCCTAACAATCAAATTAAGATTGCTTATGCTTTATAGCGCGATATTGGTATGTCCGTATCTTGAAAATCTGGATCAACGGATAAGTTCGATAATGAAAAACATTCGGTGATGATTGAAGTAAAAATTGAGGATAGGAATCATGACACTGAAAGGAAAGTTCAATGATATAATCGCATTTCAGGGATCTGATTTTCTATAAAATAATGAATTAAAAGTATTACCATTTTTTAAAATATGATTATGTTGATAATGCGATATTATATTGATAATCAGCGTGACTTGAACATCCTATTGCATCTAGATTCTATTAAAGTACCTGAAATAATAAAAAAAAATCCATTGGTACTTTATCATTGTGTATATACTGTACGCCCGTTCTTATAGCCAAGTTTAATTTTTTTTTTCATTTAAGAAAATATTTAATTAACCTTTTGGACTCAATGGATTTTTTCTGCTAATTCATTTCTTTTCTTGACTTTTCGTTCAATAGCTCTATTAAAAGGATGAATAATCAAAAGTG